CTTTCGCCCCGTTTGTCAATATTTCTCTTTTGAACATCGAGTATGAAATCAACAGGGCAGCCAACCCACACACTGCTGAAAGCGGCGACACCCCTGGATGTCTGCCGTTCATGGTTCCGGCATGCTGCTGAGCGTAACCACGCCTCATTTGTTACCGTGGTCCATTTCTGTTCCCCACCTACCCCAGGGCTGGTCACGCCGACGTGCAGAATGTGGCGAAGTCTGGGCGTTCTGGTACGTCCAGACGAAAATAATTTCAGTGGTGGCTTTGCTTTGTCACAATTACGGAGGAGCTTGTCCTGGTGATTAGAATGATTTGTCGTTGAGGGGAGTTGGATGGCGGCTGTACATCACAAATGTCGTTTGCGCTCCAGCCGTCGACTTTGAGACGAGTTGACGTATGACACAAGTCAGGCGAAAGTTGGCAGATGGCGTTTAGTCCCTCGCCTGCCCGCTGACGTACGAGAATTGAATGCCCTACGGCCGGTGACGTCTCCAAATGTGAGTCAATTCCCATCGCTGGTGAATGCTCAGACGTCAATGGGAGGGTAAATGACGCGGCACGAAAAATGGCTGATGCTGCCAGTGATTAATCGCCAGATAGCATGAATGTTTTGTTTATGGTGAAATTCTTGTGGTGATTGCCGAAATCTAGGTGTTCCTCGTCCACATTTGACACCAGAAACTTGAATAGCTCTAGCAATACAGACACATGTTGTTTCCTGCTTATGTTATGAAAATGTGTTTTGATGGGTGTGGCCTAAGTAAGCCACATTGAAATTGTATGTTGTTTATCTGAACTTAATGGATATTCAGCCGTACCGAGCTATTATAAGCCTTTCCATGTATTTTCGCTCTGTGCTCCGAAATGACTTCTGCTGCATCGGCTATTTACACAGAGACAAAGATAAAAAGACGCAAAAAGATTATTCCTCCCGAGCGAAAGTTCAGCATCGCTCATTCCACATTGCTGGTCAGAAAATGTCCAAACGTTTTCTTGGGGAGTAGTATGGTGTAAGGTATATAATATTTCATGAAAAGGCTCAAGCCCGCGCACGTATCTCGTTGCGGTGTTTTCTTTCACGCGAGGCTCCAGGTCGATAACAAAATGGATCGTCGGCGTGCCACAGTGGTCTGAGGAGTTCCGCTCCATGCCTACCAATGAGCTCATATCGGCCACTTGGACGTGCACCAGCCCCGTCCCCGATCACGTGGGCAGGCGTTACTTACATTTCTACCCCGCGGGCTGCCGATTCTTATTCGGGGACGCCAGCCAGGCCCGGGGAATCGATTCGGTTTCGTATTCAAGGATTCACGTTTGTTTATTGGAACATTCTGCCCAAATTGGCGTAATCCTTATCTGAAGATTCGACTTCATATGCAGAGGATTTCATGGCTGCGGAAACAAGAACTTAAGTGCTGTCAGTTGCGTCGCGGATGATAAGTTTATTGGGTCGAGTAAACTAACCATTACCGAAGGTCTTTGCGTTTTGCTGAGAATGCTTTTGGAGAAGAATTTCCCTTTGAGATTTCCTTTGCCTCTGCCTCCTTAACTTTTTATATCATGTAAGTTAGCATTGATATATCCTGCATGCTTTGCATTTTGATGTTACAACTAAGGACAGGTCAGGAGCATTGGAAGCTGCTGAACAACTGGCAAGCGCAGATTCTTGAGAAAAAGGGGGTAGGAGCAAATAGATCCATTAAGTTGTTATCGATGTGTTACAATGAGAGTAGTAGTATTTGTCCCGTGGCCCTATACCGTGGCACTTGTATCTGATTTTGGCAATGCCCTGATCAGTGGCGGATACACAGTATGTTAAATTGGTGGAGAAAAACGCGATCGTGTCGTAGCGTTCCGACCTTTACCAACCGTGTCAAGTTCCGTCCTTTCCTAAATCGGTGTCCATGTTGCGGTCGGCTGTGACTTAATCTTTATCTCCGGCTCTACAGCATGCTGCTGATATGTTGCAGTCGCTTTGCTGGCGATAGAAAACCTGCCCGAAGTCTCTGAGCTATTGAAGGGTCCTACCAGCATCGGGGCACAGTGCGTGTACTCTGTCTGCGAACTGCACTCGCGGTTCTGAGTAACAAGTTTTCCATCTGACATATCCCCTGGTCCACGGCATGTTGTAATCCACCGCATGAAGTATGCCGAGAAATTATCCGGATTTTTCCATATTTTGTACAGATTTCAAGCTGCATAATCATGCTTCCGAATATTCAAATGCGGGTTTCGGCATTACAATGTCCGTTGAATTCGATAGTTGCGGTTGTCACCGAATGCTCCGGATCGGAGAGCTAGCTCCAGGGGCGATGTCCACTATCTGGATGACCGAGGTCAAGCCACAGCGGGCGGCGGAAGGCACATCTGCGCAGTTCCGCCACCCGTTTATCGGCGGCTTCGCGCCGACGGTACCCCACCCCGAGTGTGGAGAGTTTTCGTCAGCGACCGGCCCCGGTCAGCGGAAAACTGACCGGGGGCGAGATAGCCACGGGATTGATCGGAACTGCGCGTCGGCCGTGGTGACTCGCGCGTGACGTCACCCGCCTCGCGGGAGTCGCACCCCCTGCAGAGGACACCGCCGGTGTCGTCTTCGCAGGACGCTTGACCCTCTGCTGTCATGAACTGGCACGTTCCTGGAGTGGCCTCGTTCCTGGAGTGGCAAGCTGTCCCCCACGTGGTGGTGACAGGCTCGGAGAGCGGGCGATTAAAGATCACGCTGCCGATGCTTGCGTCACAGTGCCGCCGCCCTCCGACGCAGGCGGGGCCGGCGCCCCGCGGGCGACGCCGATGTCGTACGCCACGCGCGCGCCTCGAGTGTCCGCGCCCAAGTCTGGCGCCAGCCCAGATTGCTCTGTCAAGGCGGCGGAATTCCAGCTTTCATGTTTTTTCAGCAAGGTCGCGTCCGGCCGTCTGAGAAAATTCGGCGTGATTGCACGCAGAGGGAGGCGCGAATGGAAATGTCCTCAGCAGAAACTGCAGCATGCTACGGTGTCGCCATTTGCTGTTTACCAGCGTAGCTTGAGCGTGATGTCGCACACTCTCGAAATAATTTGGTTGCGTGCTACGGGAAGCCTGGGAGCTTATGTGTTATCTTAGTCTCAGGCCACGCAAACATAAATGGGACTACCCGGAAATATGTTTCCTCGTTCGTTAGAGCCTTTCTTCTTTTGGCGCCGACACCGTCACCCTAATAATTCCAGTACAGCGGGTGTCTTCGGCCAAAAGAGTTAACCTGCTATGCAATGTCATGGCGTGGCCGCGCGCCGCGCCTTGCAAGCTTGCCTCTCTCGGGTCGCCAGATGGCTGTCTCTGACGAGCCAAGAACCGAGCGCGGTTTCCGGGGCGCGAGCTCACATCGCCCGCCGCCCATGCTCAGGCTTCCGGCGCTCTGACAAAGCCGTGGGGCGACGTTCTTGGCGCAAGCCTCTCCGCCAAGCATTCGTCCCAACAATGATATTGTTTCTCCGCTCTGCATCCTAAAGGATCTGCTTCATTTGGTCTGGGGAAGTTTGGCATTAAAAGAAGTGTATCGTAGGCAAAGTTGCACGGCTCATGTATTGCGGAATCTGGGAGAAAGTGAATGTGAAATATGAATAAGGCTTAAGGAGGTCCAGATTTGTGAGGACACATTGGATAAAGATAAATGGGGACGGGGGCGGCGGGGGCAGTAGCTAATAATGCCTTAATGGCCGAGTTTGTAGCTGTGAAATGAGTTGAGATTCATTGTGGTCACTCGGTACCAGTGATAATTTGTGCGGGTTGGAGGATGCACATGGATTCGGGTTTGCTGACATGTGTGCGAAAACGAGAAAAATGTTAGATGCGACGGCTACTGGGTGTGCGAGGTCGATGTTCGTTTACATGGTCCAAAATCCAAGCAGAGCGGAAAGAACACGAGCCTTTAGTGCCACATCAAATGGCTTCATTTATATCCCTCAGGATCGCCACGAATTGAAACATTTCCACCGTCAAACGAAATCACCTATCATCGCTCTTCCTCTGCCACCATCAACCCCATCGACCCCCGACCCGGGGCCTACATCAGCCGCGCTTGATAGCACATTTTCATCTCGAGCGGCCGCCACAGTTCGGCGAACACCGCCCGAGGCAGGGCAGCTCGGACCCGAGAGAGGTGGTGGCGGCGGCGGCTGCTGCGGCCGAAGTTCCGCCGCGCCGACTCCGCGCCGGCCGAACCCGGCTGTCGCCAAGCGCCACCGGCGACGTCGTAATTAAAATACGTCGCGCCGCAGGCGTCAGCCGGGTCATTCCCAGGTCACGGCCCGGAGCGTGCGCAACCGAGCACGACGCCCGGCGCCGCTACGACCGCTTCGGGGACATTACGACCGTCGACGGACTGTCCGTCGTGCGACCGCCATCCCGCCGATGGAGTGGGTCAAATGCTCGGCGCTCACGAGCTGGTACAGCGATACTCACGGGGAGACTTAGCGGGCTGGTGGCGTGGCGGCCGTGCAATGGCCGTGGTCAACCACACGTGCGGTTCGCGGGGAGTCGAGCTTGAGCGATCTGCTCCGACGCTTGCTGACTTGTTGTGCGTCAGATCGCTGACCACGCGCGAGTACAGCTCGCCCCTTCCTCGGAGCGTGATGTCCTCTCCCGCAATGCACCGGTTGAGCCCTGCGACCCCGTTTGCTGCCGCTGCTGGGCCCCGGCGCCCGCCAGAGGTCAAAGCCTGAACGCCTTGCGACCCTGTGATCCGCTCCGCTGTCGCCGCCGCCGCGCCCGTGACGTCAGCACTGGTGGCTGATCCCGCGCGGCGAATCAATATCACGCTGCGGCAAACAGGCCCCCCGGTGAGACTTGCAAGCTATTTAGTCCATAATTCGCCGCCTGATTAGATTAGCGCGTCGCGCCGCAGCCGCGGCGCCGGCGTGTCATTCGCGGCGCGTCGCCGGCGCCGCGGGGTCGGCGTGTCTCGCGCGGTCGCGTCGCCGACGGCTGGCCGGTGCTCTCGCCTGCCCCGGACGTCACAGGTGTGGCCCATCGACCTGACCGCGAACAGGCCGATACTCGACCAGCGTGGTCATTGATCATTGATCGTGGTCATTGATCGCCTCGTTCGGACCGCACCGCCGCCAGCAGTGCCGCCGTGGACGGCATGGAGGCGCGTCTGGCGCCCCTGCGGCGGCGGCTCAGCCTCAAGAAGGAACGGCAGCCGGCAGTCGTGGAGCTGAAGCGGTTCCAACGCTACAACACGGTCGTGTGGTACCGCCAGTCGTCGCTGGGCGACGTGCCCGACGTCAAGCGCGTGCATAGCCAGCCGCACCTGTGAGTAGGGCGGCGCTGGAGGCCCAGCGACACTTGTCTGTGAGTAGGGCGGCGCTGGAGGACCAGCAACGCCTGTCTGTGAGTAGGGCGGCACTGGATGCAAAGTGAAACTTGTCTGTGAGCAGGATGGTGATAAAGATCCCAATCATTAACACCCGTGGGAAGAGCAATGTAATGCACCACCCCAGTCATTGGGTAAGAGGCGCAGGGACAAAGACGAAATCTCTGCTAGCACCGCTTGGTGAAAAAGCGCAGCGCTAGAGGAGATTTTGGTTATTATCTGCAGTCTGGTGGCATTAAAAGAAGGTCCGCCACCCGTGACAGGGACAGTGGAAAATACCCTGTTTGTGTCAGGTTTGATGTTCGTGGATAGGGCGGGATACGCCACTTACACCTGTTAAGGCATGGCGGTGGACCGGCGACTGGCCATGAGACCACATCACCACCTGTAGCCACATGGCAGGGAGAGAACAGGTCGCAGCCGACACCACCTGTTGCGCTGAGTGATCCGCGAGCGGGTGATGTGCTCACCACCACCTGGCACCGTGTGGTGTGGAGGAAGAGGCGTCCCAGGAGCCACCACCTGTGACTGGCGTGGTCCGGTGGGACCTGCCTCTCCGCACCACGAATGCAACAGCTGGAAGCAGACTCCATTGCGTGCAAAGTCAATTCTAGCCGCAGGTGGTGGTGTACTCTTTCTCCACGTACCGTTGGACTTAAAGTGGTAAAATGTATTCCAGTCCCACTCCATTTCGTCCGCAGGGGATGGTTTTGGGGGATCTCCTCTAAGGTGCCCATGCTGTCACGCGTGTGTGGCAAATCGCTCTTGTGACCATCCTTGGCTCGAACCCTTCTCCCCCAGCATCTCAACCCGAGCATAGAAAGATTCCTCCCAACGCCGTTTTCAGCGGAGAAATGGATCTCCGTCTAGAATTGCCAGCAACAATTGAGAACGAATTTCCTTCCACATTTAGCAGCATTCGCTTAGCCGTCTTCGGCTCCTCTAATCAGAATAGCATGCCCCTGCATCCCAAATGACTTCCTACTCACATTTGGGGCTTTAAATCTGATTGTATCGATCACATATGGCTCAGAGGCCTCCAGGCCAGTAGAGATTCATTGGACAGCCCTGCACGAGGAAGCTGCATTGTACTCGGGTTGTGCGCTGAAAGCGATACGCCACGCGCTGTCGGAATGCTTGTGCGTGATAAAGGCCGCATTGATAGCAGAATGGCGCACTGGTATCTCCCTGGACAGGATGCTAGCGTAGCGCTGGATGTGTAACCAGACGGCGAGCGGCGGCAGATGACTGAGGCCGGATGAAGGGACGCACGCGGCAGGTCATCAGACGCAGGGGTCAGGCCCTGGCGCCGCTCCTCCGCCATCGTAGGGAACCCCATTCGCCCTGCGAGTTTGAAGGGACGCGCGTAACAGGCCGTCGGACGCAGAGGTTCGGCCCTGGCAGCGCTCCTCCGCCATCGTAGAGGGCCCCACGCGCCCTCTAAATTTCAGGGGACGCACGTGACAGGCCATCGGACGCAAAGATCAGGACCTCGCACAGATCCTCCACCATCGCAGGTCACCCCGCCTGCCCTGTCAGTTCGCGGTTTTTTGTGACTGTGGCGGGCTTACCGGTTTCCCTTGAGCCAGCGCACGCTCCAAAATTGCGTATAATGAGGCGTTGACACAATTAATCATGCGCTAACACTGGTAATAGGTTTGCTGAAAAGACTTCCTGGGCTAAGAGCGTGTTTTAAACGAGGTGCGCTGAAGACCGGCTGCGTCATCGACGAACTATTTGCTGTTGGAACAGCAGACGTAATGAATGAATCAAAGTGAATGTATTCACGGGTGTTGTCGCCGTCGTGGGCAGCGTTCCCTGAATTCGATTATCTTGTCTATTGCATCTGCAACGGATTCTAACAGCTCCATTTCATCACAGACAGGTCAAAGCCAGAGTTGACGTTTTAGTGAACGTAGCGCGGGCAAAAAGTCTTCACCACTTAGCTGAAACTGACAAGAAGTAATTACACTCAACGCATGTCCGTAAGAAATTGTTTCATATTGTCTGAAGTTCTTCAAATGTTTGTGGAGGGAGAAACAAACGCCGTCAGTATGACGCTGTGTTGGGAGAAACTGTACATGCCGAACGCCGCGCTGTAGGTCGCGAAACTCCCCGCCGGTTGCTGAGACCTTCTTCCGCTTCGGACCTCCGTCGCCACCCTCCACGCAATCGCACCAGTCAACACCTCTTGCGTTCCGTACAGCAAGCCAGAACAGGCCACCCTCGGCGGGCGTAGGTCGCTGCGTGGTCGCAACAGCGCTGTGTGCTGTGGACCAGAGCGCACAGCGCTGTTGTCCTGTGTGCTGTGGACCACGTAGCGGTCCGCGCGGTCACTACTGCTCGGCGTCCAAAGTCGAGACCACTAAATGCAGACTTGTAAAAATATACATTGAGAGACAAATTCACAGGACGGCTTTGAGCTGCAACTCATGGGCGCAACTCACTATGAGCTGCAACTCATGGGCACAACTCACTATGAGCTGCAACTCATGGGCGCAACTCACCGGCGCAAAATAATGAAACGCTGTACCAAAACTTTTTAGGCTGGCTGTTGTGAAAAGGTCGAGCGTGGTTTTCACAAGGCGGATGCAACGACGCGTGTTTACTTACAAGTGACTGGCCAGGGCCACTCCTCCCATTATCCCGGCCTGCGGCTGGCGTGTTTCCACTTGATCCTTTCTCCGCGTTGTTGGACATAAACCAGTTCGTAGTTCCCAGCTCTACATCCAGATTTGTCATGTCGCTGGATGTTCACCGCGCTGATAAACTCGCTGGTGGTCAGCAGATTGGGTGTGGCAAAGCTCAAGCCTAAAAGGAGCGCACCGAGTTCATCCTGAAACGTAGTTCATGAAGGTTGTAAAGCCGCAAAGGTGCTCAACTTTTGAACCTTAAGCCCTGGAGATCCAGAGCCAGAGAAAGCGTCGGTCTTTGTAACGCTGTTCACGCCATAGGGAACCCGACCCTAAGATCCGACTCACCTTTAGCTGAAAACGTTACCTGTTGTGGGAGCACAGCTGGGCCTGGCATGTCTTTTTAACGACCAATTATTCACACGAAACTGTCAGGTCCGGCCAGATCCGTCACTGGAAAGCTAAACAGCCAGATCATTGCGACACCGCTTGGGCTCAAGAATAGCCCTGCTGAGCGCAGCCGGGGGCGTAATAATGCCGCCGTAGTTTAGGCCCAGTTCCCTTTGCCCTGGCTCTGTCGGAAACAGCAACACACGGCCTCGCGTGACAGACCGGCGATGGAAACGAAAAGCTGTTTATCTTTTGCGAAATTTTTGGTCGGCTTTCGAACGTTCCGGACAGGTCACCTAATATTGCGGGCGGGGGGGGGGGGGGGGGAACGATCAGGTGTTCTCTTGATATCTCTTATTATGACAGTCCTACCTTGCGAATGGTGAAAGAAATGGATTGGTCGTCGAGTACCGATTGCGGCGCATTGCGTCCATTTCAGCCAGCTCCTTTTATCCCTGTCGATCGGTGCGTTCGAGGCACTTCTATTGCGCAAAATGATCAAGGCAGTCAGGGCTCTCCTTAAATCTAAATATCTTTATTGAGACACTTCCATGACCGTCGCACCTACTTCGGCGCATTGAAGGCAATCACTACCATCATGGCGGGCGCCGTGTGTCTTCTGAGTTCCCAATCGGCTGATCGGCCTTTACGTATAATACTTAACGTTCTGAATGTGTACTCCAAACGGATGTACTCCACGGTAAGCTGGATGACAGCATACCCCAAAAATTACACTTACCGTAGCGCAGAGGAAGGATAAAGGATGGATATTCCACGGAATTTTACAGGCACCATCCGAATACCTGACCGTTGCTCGTGTCCCAGCCGCATCTTTTGCGTCGCCTGTGAAGGTATGAGCCAACGGGCACCGGACGTTTGCGGCGCTCTTTCAGACAGCCGACGTGATAGTCTAGGCAACCAGGGGATGTATACTCTGTAAAGATATACACGGAGGTGCATATCCCCGTCACCTTCTCGGAGCTATTGATCATTATAAATGGTTTACCAGTAGACTGTTGCTGTAACTAACTTGTTTACGGCTGCTTGTTTACGTACCCTGAGCTTGCCGGTGCCGGCAATCAACCAAATGGCGTTTGAAGCCAGCACACCGTAACAACTCGACATCGGCAGTCAAATCAAAACCTGCCCGCCATTCCACACAACTCAACATCCCAAGTCTCCGCCACAGACCACACATCACATTCGATAGCAACATCAGCCGCCCGGCAGCCGGCTGACCATCCCAGCTACCGTCGTGGCGAACCGCTGCTTGATTAGGCGGCGCGCGTGCCCGGCCGGCCGCTCGCGCGCCGGCGGCGGCGGGGCGCGCGCCGAGTCTCGGCCGCCGACGTCGACGGGGCGGCCGTCGTGAGCCGCGCCAAATCCAGGCCGTCGCCGGCGGCAGAGCGGCCGCTAACAAGGCACTCGCGCCAGGGCTCGGGTTCCCGAGGGATGCCCGACGTGACATGCGCGCGGGGTCGCGATAAGGCGCCGATCGTTACGCGGCGGGAGGTCGGGCGCTCGGCGTGACGAGCGCGGCGCACACGTCACGAGACGGGGCGGCGGCCGAGGACGCGGGCGTCACGGCCTGGCACGGTGCGGATGCGGCGAGCAAGGCCTGGCGAGCGCCGACCCGGATCCTGCCACTGAAGGGTTGCGTTTCTCGAGCCCGCCGTCCAAGCTCCTGACGCTAGCCTCCTGACGGCGTCCGCTGGTCACTTGCAGTGCTGCGGATCACCCAGGCCCCCGTGCCGGCCAGATATTCACTGACCATGGGGATCCTGAAGAGACTGAATGGGTTGGGGGAGGGATGGACTCGCTGCTTACTCTATAAGCAGGCGAATGGGAGAACCTGGCCGATCCCATTATGCGCGCCCAGCCTTCCTGCCGATCCCAGCCAGCATGGCACGGCCAGC